TTATTATTATTATTATTATTATTATTATTATTATTATTATTATTATTATTATTATTATTATTATTATTATTATTATGGACTTGTTTACAGTAAATAATAATCGCATGAAACAAATGTTAATGCAAAAATAAATAAAATTAAACAGGTTTCAGACTAACATATTTAGCAAGCATAATTATTAATACATTTATATAAACAGTTTATAAATCAGTGTTTGGTATGTGTTTTGAAACAGTGTTTAACTAAATGATTGGAGTAGGATAACATTCCTAATACATAGTAATCTCAATATACCGTATTGTTTGAGCAATTAGCTAAAATCCACAACATTATGAGTTTATTGTGGATCTAGGCTTTAATCTATTATATATCTGTTATTTTGAGAGTTCGTTATATTGAGAGCCACTGTGTATAGTATTCCCTGAATTATTTGTTGTGGTTTATCGTTCCTGACGTTGAAACAATGTATGTAAATCTGATGTTATCTACGAATCGTAATTATGTCATTCTTACAGAAATTAATAATATACACCTGCGTTCTGCTCTTGACGATAGTTATGAACCAGTGTCTCACCGTCTCACTCGGAGATTTTATATTACCTTACTAGATGCTGTCAATATAATTGCACATTGCACATGGGAATGGTGGGAATCTTCGTATAGGCACTAGCGTAATTACAACAATAACCACTGTCATATAAACTGGCCCGATTTTTGCATGTATAAGAACTGTGCCAAGTTTCCGATCATTGTGGCGCAGATTTGCAGTTAACAAAAATTTTCAAGTTCATTGGAGTTAGGATTAACGTTTAGATTACGGTTAGAGGTTTAGTTAGTTATGTAGTAAAATTGCTCAAGGAAAACTTTTTGTTGGAGCATTAAAGGTGGGATTTTTATAAGAAATAAGAGATTTTTGACAAAACGAACGTTTGCTTTGAAATTTCTATATTGCACTGTGATTTTGAAATCTGATTTGTAAATTAGGAATCTGCGCCACGTCCGTGACTACTGTATTATCCTTATACCTTAAATTGTAGGCAAATTTGCCTGTTTCAATACTTGAAATTTGTCTCTAACCTATTTTTTTTTTTGTTTATTTGAATTATTTAAATAAATCTTAATATTATATCTTTATTTATATTATAGAACAAAATGTTTGCGTAATTTTTAATTAAAATAACCTAAATATTAGGTTTAAAAATAATTATTACTACTGTATTTTAGCGTAATAACGTCCATAAGTCTTATTTTAAAAGCATGCACCTAAAATTAAAATGCATAGCTTCGAAATGATGCCCATGTGTATTTCAAAAGAATGCAATGCTTAAATCAATTAATCATACGTACAAGTATCTTCCTATGTCGGATGATCAAAATAAGGTGCATGTTATGTCGGATGACCAAAATGACGCGCATATTATGTCGGATGATCAAAATAACGCGCATGCTTAGGTCAGGGTAAATTAACTAAACACATGAATCCTTCCTACGTCGGACAATCAAAGTAACGCGCAGATACAGTTATTATGTAATTACTTATACATTTGATCAATGATAATAATTGAGTGTGAGTAATTAAAACCGATATTAATGATATTAAGCAAGAAAAAGTATATTATTATTGTAATTATTTTATTTTGACCTGGGTTAAAGCCACCCTAAATATTACTAATACTATAAATTTTGGTCATGTCATCAAATTTTATAGTAACTTTAACCCAAGTGAAAATAGAGTTCTTTCTTTCAGTATTAAACAATATTAATAATTTTATACGTCTCTAAGATTTTCTTCTGGCGGCACCATGCGTGTGGCCGAAACTATTTCGGTCTATTCGGTCTATTCGAAACTATTTATGCATAAGCCATATAATAGTTTCGACTCAAGTCGAAGTAATTTCGACCACATGCATAGGCGGCACTCATATACAGTCCAATCTCTAAATGCAATTTCTCTAAATGCATAGTCTATGAAAAACCTACCTAAACGCATTGTTATACCTGGCCCCAACTCATATGTATGTTCCTATAGATATTTACCTCCCTCAATGCCAATACCTCTCTAAATGCAAGATTCGCCAATTTTTTTATATAGTCTGGCAAATAAAATCCAGATAAATCAAAATTGGCAGAAACTAATTGGTTAACTTGTCAGAGGTAAATCATTTTTATTGGTTCCAATTGAAAATTTAGATTCAGGGTTATGATTTTCATAGACAGAAAAGAGTCTTTTGTAGTTGGAATTGAAACTTTATGCAAGGGGTCTCTTAAGGCGTTTCGTAGATTGCGTTGAAATGAGGTAAATTATTTAAATCACTGCCTTCCTAATTATATAAAGTATTCTACTTGAAATGATTGGTGAAGTATGTGAAACATTTCCCCAAGCGAGAGTATTGAAAATCTAATTTGCAAAAGTATCAATTGTAACTGCGTCTTTGGAATTATCCAAGGACTTAGTCCTCTTAATCAAACAATGCATGATGATCAGGTTTTGAGTTATAAATAAAGGGGTGTTGACAACTGTTAGAATGTTAGTACAGCACAGGGTTACATTATTCATTTTCAGTGATTTGTGCGCCTTTACACACCCTTACCGTTACTAACTTAAATACAAGCTGCAGGTCACGTGGTCGAAGATCAGACCACTTCGAGAGAATACTACCGTTATAACAACCATGTTATAATATATCAAAACTTGAAGAAATTGGTTCTGTGACGGTATCATAGAGAGTTCTTTCAGCTTTTACATTGGATACTATTCTGTTTTAACGAAATAATTTGACACCAGCTTTTCAAAGAAGGAAAATTCATTTTCTGTCTGCCGCATCACGAGGATACCATTTCCGTACGGGATTAATATACTAAAGTTAGGAGCATGAATGGAATATCCTTGGCTTGATTTAGAAAAGGTGATGGTACAGTATCGAAATAACAATCAACAAAGTTAGGAGCATGAATGGACTTGATTTAGAAAAGTATCGAAGTAACAATCAACAAAGTTAGGAGCATGAATGGAATATCCTTGGCTTGATTTAGAAAAGGTGATGGTACAGTATCGAAATAACAATCAACAATACATTAGATTGATTCCCTGCGCGTTATTTAGAATACGTCCATATTCGTTATTTCGAGACGAAAGGCCAATTTTCTAAATTTGATCATTACAATATATAAATCTGTCAACATATTATACATATGATATGCGTATTATTTTTGGATGCTTGTGAACGTTATTTTAAAATTAACTTTTCTATTTTTAAAAATTCAAGTTTCGAAATAATGTCCATACTTGTTACTTTTAGGTTTTACGATATACTAATGATCGCCAATAGAATTAATATTATTACACAGAAAAGAAGATAATCAAACATTGATAGGTATATAAAATCACTTAAACATTCGACATAATAAAACAAATGGATCTAGATACGCAAGAAGTATAACCGTGATAATGCTGTGTATGTATATTTATTTAGTTAAATTATTGCTTTAAATGGTTTATTACGATAGCATATGGCATAAAATTTATACATAAGAATTTTCTATAATGCAAATGATTTGTGAATTTAGCCTTGCCAATTACTTAGTGTTTATTATCGATTTTATCCAATTAACTTATAGCCTAAAAAAAATTACATTAAAAATGTGACCAATAATAATAAACCCGTTTATGTTAATAACAATGTGCAACAATGTGGAAAATTTTTAAACAAATAAATCTGCAAAATGTCGATTTTTTGCTTATAATTGAATTACCTAATGTTGTAATGTTAATAAATTATATTTTTAATTAAATGAAATGTTTTTTTTAATCTCTATCATGCGATATATATAAAAATATATATGCTGTAATGTTTTTTTTTACTGCTGCGTATAGAGTTTATCCTAAACAAGGTATATTCTTAGGTAACTTTGGCTATTAATACATAAGACAAGGCCCCGATGCACATATACAAACAAGGATCACAAATTTATTACAACATACGTGCATATTTTATCTGTCATTCGTCCACCTTAATATTTGTATGCTAGGTATATACAGTATGATAAAATTTTCTCACTTATAAATACATTTCGATTTAGATCTTCTTTTTTTCTTTTTTTTTTCGTTGTAAATAATAATAACAAAGAAAATAATACCGAATAGAAATTATAGATATAAAAAAAAAACCGAATGGGGACACTAAAAAACATTATTCATTTATATCTATGTTTGCTATGTTTTGCATGGCAAACATATTGTGGTAAAGTCTTTCCTCCTCTACCACATCAAAACGTTGTCGAAAAAACATACATTGTTAAACATACATACGGAGGATCGGGATTAAATGATGTCTTCAAACGTCAAAACGCAAGTTGTAAGAATCGTCTAAATTTAGACATTATAAACTCGACATCAGTTACGTGCGCTAGTGAAAATGATGTTCACAAACTCTGTAGTGATAGTGGAGTTGAATCCGCTCATCCGGTGGTAAGTTCATATTGAATAAATAAAATACTAAAATAAATAAATAAATAAAAATGTTTACCAAATATAATATATATTTAGATTAAACTATCACCAACCTCATTTCGAGTAGCTTTTGCTGATCATGTTACTGGAGTTACTGAAACTATTGAAAAATTAAAATTTACTGGCAAGGGCATCAAGGTAATCATCTAGATTTCGCACAAATTTGGCTACATTAATTTGATTCACTTAATTTTAACAAATTTAACAAATTTTTGTACACATAACTAGGTTGGTGTTATAGATAATGGAATTGATTTGTTTCATCCGGCTTTTGGTACATGTGACGGGACTATTGGGAAACCTGGATGCAGAGTTCAATTTGGTTTTGATTTTATTGGAAATGGCACTCCTGAAAACCCTATTCCCGGTCCTATTCCTCAAGAAAATTGCAATGGCCACGGAACTCATTTGGCTGGCATAATTGCTGCGGATGATCATGTTAAAAATTTTACGGGTGTCGCTCCCGAAGGTAAGCTATCACATGGTTATTGACATTTCTAATATCTAATATTAATTATTATTTTTTTTTTTACTTATAAAAATTAGCAATACTTGGCATATACAAAATCAATAATTGTGATACTGGATCATCAAATGATATTATTATTAATGCAATGCAGAAAGCTAAGGCGGATGGAATGCAAATCATTAATCTTTCTATTGGTCATAAGTTTACTGCTTGGCCAGAAGACCCTCTTGCGGCTGCGACATCCGCAATAGCAGATAGTGGTATAGCCACCGTTATTTCCATATCTAATGATGGTAATTCGGGTATTTTTACCCTGGGCTCTCCAGAGGCTGGAGCCAACGTTATTTCGGTTGGCGCTATTGAAAATTTCAAGTTCTTTACTTTCTTCTTGCTCTTGAGTACTGATCCATCAAGAAAAATTAGTATGTTTCAATTATTTTATCTTGTTATTTAATCTAAACTACTTGATCAGAATACTTAGTATTTTTTTTTTTTATGCTAAAAGTTTATGCAACAACCCGAATTACTCTTCAATTTGGTTTGTCCGGTCCACTTCCTATTAAACCAACAAGCAACGTACCTCTTACAGCAGGTGATGCCTGTAATAATGTTACCGGGAGTTTTACTGGATCTATTGCTTTAATCGCGCGAGGAGGATGTAGCTTTGATCTAAAAGTCACCAACGCTGTAAATGCAGGTGCAGTTGGTGTAATCTTTTACAATAATGACCCAGCACAATCATTTGCGATAGGTGTAACGGGTGCGACCCCGAGTGCGATGATTTCCATGAATGATGGACTATTTATTTTAAATGAAATTAATCGTAATCCCTCAGTGACTGTCTCATTTCCAAATAATACGATAATTGCTGACTCCCAAATTGGTGGTCAGCCTCTAAATTCAAGTGGATTGGGTCCAACTTTCGAATTGGACCCGAAACCAGACTTTTTGGCCCCCGGAGGTCGTATTTTTAGCACTTTTCCCATAGCCCTTGGATCATATGCAACATTATCAGGTAAACTTTTTAAAATTGATGTACCAAACATTTAACATCAAGCTTATTGTTTTTTAACAATATAATTTTTACATTTTATTTAATCTTAATTAGGAACATCGATGGCTGCAGCTTATATGTCTGGTACTGTTGCACTTTTTTTACAGGCAAAAGGAACAACCGATCCGAAACGTGTTCGAGACATTTTTCAAGTTACCTCAAAACCATTAGAAATGAAAGACTTGAATCAAAAATCACTTGGAATGCTTCATTCAGTATCTAAACAAGGTGGTGGTGTAATTAATGTATTTGACGCGATAGAATCTCAAGTCTTAATTACACCCGGAAGATTAGCACTTAATGATACACCACATTTTAATGGAACTGCTTTTTTCCAAATTACAAATAATTTTCATGATACCGCAAAATTTGTTATTTCTCACAGACCCGCTGCTTCTGCGAGAGGATTCTTTGGAGGACAATTAGTTCCATTAGCTAATACTTTATTTGAAAAATTTTTCGCTACAGTTAAAATTGAACCTTCGTCGATCATATTAAAACCTGGAAAGTCAACTACAATTAAATTAAGTATAACACCACCTGTTCAATTAGATCCTCAAGAATTTGGTATATATTCTGGATTCATAGTTGTTAAAAAAATTGATGGAAATGGTCACGATGGAAATGGTCACGATGGAAATGATCACGATGGAAATGGTCACGATGGAAATGATTACGATGGAAATGGTCACGATAAAAATCATAAACGCCATAGACATCATAAACGCTCCGATGAAGATAGTGAAAACAATGATGATAGTGATAACAACAATGGAGATAATGAAAACAATGATGAATATAAAAATAATGATGATAATGAAAATAACCATGATTCTGAAAATAACGATGATAATGAAAATAATGATGATTCGGAAAACAACAATGATTCGGAAAGCAATGACGATTCTGAAAATAACGATGATTCTGAAAACAACGATAATTCTGAAAACAACAATGATTCTGAAAACAACAATGATTATGAGAACAACAATGATCCTGAAAACAATAATGATCCTGAAAACAACAATGATCCTGAAAACAACAATGATCCTGAAAACAACAATGATTCTGAAAACAACACTGATTCTGAAAATAACACTGATTCTGAAAATAACGATGATTCCGAAAACAACAATGATTATAAAAACAACGATGATTATAAAAACAACAAGAATATTGAATATACAATCCCATACCTTGGCCTAAAGGGCGATCTTCATACATTCCCAGTGTTAGGTTTAGATATTGCAACAAATTCACCATTTATAGTCGACAATACTAATCTAAACATGATTTTCAATGAAACCGAAAGTGTAACTTTCACATTTGTAAATAATAGCTTTCCAAGTTTATTTTATACAATGCTTTTTGGATCCCCATTAGTAAGAACAGATTTGGTTACGGCAGGTACTAATACTACTGTTGGTGTAGTATTCCAAGATCTCTTTTCAGGCAGAAATGATCAAAATGATCAGGTAAATGGTAATATATTTTTCTTTGATTGGAACGGAATGGCCTTACAAAATGGTTCTCCTATACCGACACCAGTAGCGAACGGGAAATATCAATTCATTCTTAATGCTTTACATGTGTTCGGAGATCCTAATAATAATGCTGATTTTATGAAGTGGCGATCTCCAATTCTTGTGGTTAATCGACCTTAATATCAAATGGTTATAAACTCATAAAAATGATTCAAAAAACATTGGTTCTTAAATTTTTAGTTTATATATTCTAAAGGTGATTAATATAATTACCTAAAAAAAAAAAAAAAAAATAGATTTATAAATAGATAATTATAATTTAGTTTTTTAATTGTATGTATAAGAACATTAAAAATGATCGTGCCTACTCTAAAACATTAGGTTTATCTCGAATAGTTTAACGGTCACAAATTAATCAAATACATATTAGTAACACTAGTAAAAATTAATATGTAGCACAGGTCTATAATGTAATGCATACAAACTAATTACGTATTTTTGTTTAAATTCATCATATAATAAATAACTTGTTAAATTGCAATCATATAAAATTATTCATTAGAAATGACGGTTTATGATAATGAATGCCGAAATTTATGTACGTGGTTCAGGGACACGGAAATTATGCGATTTGTTTTAGTTCGATTCTTGACAAACTACACCAAATCACAATCAGTAATTAATATATCCAATCGGGACAAACTTAGACCAACATACCGGCTCTTAATTGTGGCAAATCATCATTTGCCTTTATTAATTCAATAGTTTATTCGATAAACTATTGAATCATTCAAGGCAAAAGATGATTTACCAAAAATAAAAACAGGTATATTGGTCCAAGTTTGTCCGAATTATCCCGATCGAAAGATGTCGAAGGGTGATTTCATAGCAAAAATCTCATTAATTTTGCGTAACTGATAGCTCTCAGCGAACTCAAATCACAAATTCCGTTGTTTTAAAAAATTTACACCGATTAAAATGTAATGATATTCTTTGCATAAATTATAATGAAAAGGTAGAATTTACATTTTTTTTATTTTTTCATTATAATTTGGCTTGGTGCTGAGAAAAGGGACCAAAAAATTAACAAAAAAGAAGTTTTACGGAAAATCGATTTTTATATTATAAATTCTATAATAAACAAAGAAAATACAAACTTTAAAGAGCCATACTGCAAAGCCGGGCTCGTGCCTGTGCCCAACAAAAATCTAGGCATGGGTATGGGCATGGGCATGAACATGGGCATGAACATGGGCATGAACATGGGCATAAAATTTTGGCATAGGCATAGACTTGGTATTTGTTATTTAATTGTGCCTGACACGCCTTTACTAGTATCACTATCGAATGAGAAAGCTACCAACAATCATGCCGAGTTTAACTCCGATGGTTGAGAAGCGGGAACCTGATGATAAATTAGGAAGCTCGTATTTTACATGATTAGTAGGCATTTATTGTATAAAAGAATGTATATTTATGTAATCTTTATTTAGAGACGATTTCAGAGAGCGTACATTTTATCAGGGCGAGAGCAACCCTTTGCATACATTCTAGTTTCTTTTGACGTCAACGCTAAGATCATAGCGTTACGTGATATTTTGAGAGTAAACGCGATTGCATGTATTAAGCCACCAAGAATACATAATAATGCCAATACTGTAAAGGTAAGATTAACATGGCTATGGCGATACAAGGAAAGAAGGTATATGACATCTTAATAACAAGGCAAATATGAAAGTGAGCAAAGTTATCCGTTACACTAGTGTCTGGCACCTTGTGCCTATGCCTGGAACTTTTGTACCTATAGGCATAGGCATGGTGCCAATGTGCCAGACCCCTAATAACAGTATTTGCTTCTTAAGTAAAAAAAATTCCAGAGCTAATTTTTGATTAGTTAAGCTCGAAAAAAAGATTTTTAAAGAGATTGTCAATTTGGTTCCTTTTCTCAGTACCTAGCCCATTTGTTTTTAAATTTATTATTATTTGTTGTTTATCTCTTTATTTATTTCTTTTTTTGATTGTTTTTTACTGGAGATTTAAGATGCTGATATCATCCTTGTATGTGTTATACATGTTTCGCACGAAATACATTCTTAATAAAGAAATTATGTGATCAGTGATTTATCAAAACGCAAATGTTTATTTTTGATAAAAAATATTTAATAATAAATTCCTTTTTTAAAAAAAAACGAAAACAGTTATAATCTATTAAACTCAGTTTCATTCTGTATGTCATAATTAGGGTGGGGCACTGGGCATGCTCAAGGCATACCTAAGGCACGTCTATGGACATGATTAAAAATTTTTTCATGCCTCCCATCCTAGCTTCAAGACAGGTTTAGACTGCCCTTTGCGTTTTCCTTTTTTTTTTGACTTCGGGCTAATCCGCGTAAATAAAAAAAGTCATGTGGATACATTGATTTTAGACGACGACCGCATGGTCTCACTTGAATGATTCATTACAAAGTGTTTCGACAACATATAATACAAGAACATTTAATAGTAGCTGTATTTCTTCTTGAATAAAATCTTTGAGCTTTACGTAAGGTTGGGAACACAGAAAAATATTTGGGCATACTTTAGGTTAAGGCATGTCCTTCCTATCCTCTGGAACATGCTTCAAAGATAAATTAAGGAGGGTAGGTAGCACGGCAAAAATTTAGGGCATGCTCCAAGTATGCCTCAAACTGGTATATACTGGTATATACGATCCATAGGAAGACTTTCGCATGATTGGCTGTTTAAATCAATTTAATTTTACATTTATTTATATACTTTTTTAAAACAATAAAACTACGTAGAATAAATAAAATAAAAAAGTATATCGATATAGAAAATTTTATTAGGGTTGTAGGACTTCACTATTAAAAATAATCAAAATTCCTTTTTGTTAGAGAAGTTAGCATGATAATAACCTAATTTTATTTATTCTTAAGTTGCTACGTATTAGAGTTAATACCTCAATCCGGATTTATTACTGTGCTATGTGATATAATACAACATAGTATTTTTAAATCCGGATTGAAGTATTAACTCTAGTCGCTATTATGCTAACTTCTCTAAAACTAATGGTGGAGTCCTACAACCCTAATATACGCTTCTTTTGTTTATACTTCATGGTTTTAAAAAGAATCGGATTATATAATTTCCATTTTATATTGATTTTTGTTAGTAATTAAGGATTTTTTTCAAACATGTATACTTGAACATTTGTTGTTACTTGTAATAGAGACTTTTACTGACGCGTAAGACATTTTAAGTCATCAAAAGAATTTAAAATTGCGTGATAAAAATAAGAAATATTATCCAGCAAGTACTACGTAAACACTGACGGTTAACCTATGGAGTTTATACTTAGATCGTTTAACTTGTCCAATTTTTTTCTCATTTTTCCGACCATTTTTTGCTCTATAAAATTACAATGATATGAAGCTTAGAACCCGTTCACCAGCTATAAGAAGACTTGACTACTTTATTTTCAATAGTGAAGCCCTACAACCTAATAAAACTTTCTACATATACATATATTATTTATTCTTATTTTTTTCCAGATGAAACAAATATCGTATTTTGTAAAATCTTTTCTGGATTGATATAAATAACTTATATCACTTTTACTAAAACGCACCTATGGTGTCTTGGTGTTTTACCATCTATATTGTATTATCTCAAAAAACTGGCTAATTAATCGGTGCAACTGTTCTAAGTAAAAATGCTCTACGCCTTCCAAACCCTAATTTTAACTCTAAATACTAGTCCTAAGATAAAAGAAAAAACTCCATATTTTTCGCCCTGGTTAAAGTTACTCAAAATATTACTAATATATAGTATTAATTTTAGTTACGTAAATGACATTATAGTTTATTGGGTGACTTTAACCCGGGTGAAAATAGAATTTCCCAAAATCTATAATGATAACAACATATAATAGGTGATAATATGTCGTCAATGTCTTGTAATCATTGTACACATTCAGACCATTGTCATAATTATATAATGCAATAACACTACGTTTATCATTATACTATTATTACTGTATTAATAAATTAATAAATTATATGCAAAACAAAATTATTTAATATCGATTTATATATATATATATTATATATAATAAATATAACCGATGATATCTTTGATATAAATGTATAAATACAAACTGATATTATTATTTTCTCTTTTTTTTATCAGGATCAGAACTGGTAAGTATTGCGTGAATCATATGATATACAGCCGTATAGTTACCAAAAAAGGCTATTTTTAAGCGTGGCTTTAAAAAGTTGTATTTAAGGGGTATCTCATTAATATCGTTTGACACGCGTTTTCCGTCTTAATTTTTCGTGTTAGTTGATTTTATAATTTTTATCATCAATCTAATTAATTCTCGAACAAAAAAAAAAAAAAAATGGCTGAATGTTCAGTACCAAATTTAATTAATTTTCCCGAAGATAAAGATATTTTTGATATTCCTTCCGTGAATCAAAATCTTGACAAAGCTGATCAGTCTTCAAAAATGCAGCATGATGAGATAGATGTGTCTCTACTTAGTGAAAATAACGAAAGATATTATACTCCTACACAAAGTGTCTGTCGGCGTGTGGAACTTAACGATGGTTCGTCCTATTTTGATACTCCTAGACCATTGTCAGGGAATCATGAGAATCAGCATGATTATGGATCGCCTACACCTAAATCGTCTTTGTCTTATCAAATAGATTTGACAGAAGATAGAAAAGATATTTTCAATAGCAACGAAAAAAGACCTTCCTTTATGGAAGACTTTACTGAATTATCTGAATCAGGAAATAATTTTCAAGAAAGTCCTGAAGATGAGGTAAGATGTGAATCTGTTGCCAATGAAACCAATGAGGAATATTCACCCAATGATGAAGGAGATGTACATCCTCAAGACGTCTCTTTTGATCCAAATGCCGAAATGGAAGATGTATCATTAAAACACAAACAGGATATTCAAGGAACTTCAGATTCAGATGCATATTCCTCTCAAATAGATGAGGTTCAGAAAACGTTAGATACAAATATGAAGAATGCTCTGTCAGAATTTGAAGAATGCGTGAACGCCAATATTCAAGAAAAATTTGACAACTTTAACAAAAATACTCAACAATATATCGAATCTAAAGTCAAAGATGAAATTTTGAAATCACTAAAGTCCAATGATGATAATATCTCATTTATAAATAATATGGAATCAATAATTGATACTAAAGTTGATAAATACATCCATGAACTCGGTCTAAAATTTGATGATAAGTCTGATGTCAAGAGAATCGATGATGAAAACGGCAAAGAAATTAACCACAAGAAGAGTGTAATTGAAGGCAAGGACAGTCAAAATTGTGAACTAGCCTACAAATTGTTAGATTCTGAAAATGATATAAAAGTCAAATATTCAGAAATCGACAAGAAAATTTCAAATGTTGAAATTTCTCTCAAAAAATTTCAAGAAAATAATTTTAAACCTGAAGTAACTCAATCAAAAATTAACGAATATCCTGATTTCAATAACGAATTTCGAAATTTACAAGATTTGAATAAAGAAACTGAGCAAAGAGTTCAAATTATCGAAAATAATATTGATAAGTTAAAACAAGAAGTGGAGTGTTTAGAACTCAAAGCAAAGATCAATGAATTGTTGGAAAATAAGTTTAAAGAGTACAATGGAAAGATCAATGGTACTGAAGAAGCAGTGATTGGTCTTGAAAATAAATATCAAGAATTGAGTGTGCAAACCACAAAAATTCTTGATTCCATCAAGAAAGAAGTGGATGAAGTCGATGTTCAAATAGATGCTTTGAAAAAAAGGGACGAATCGATAGAGGAATTGATCCTTAAAGAAATTCAAGAGTGTGAAAATGGAATATTAAGTCGACTTAAAGAAGACAGGGAAGCCAAACTAGCACAAATGATCACTGCCGTAAAAGAGGAGGCCGCAAAAGTAATGGAGCGGGTAGATATTCTAGAAGCTTCTGATAATACTTTAAGCAACATTTTGAAGGAAAATGAAGAGAAAATTATGAAAATGATCGAGGATGTTAAAATGGCTACCGACAAAATTATTCAAGAACAAATTAGAGAAGCGATCAAAAAATATACGAGCGAATATGATGAAACGGTGGAGCAGCGGATTCTTGAGGCCGTTCAACAGTACGAAGAGCGAGTCAACAAACTTGAAGATACATCTTGTGAACTTGAAAATATATTCACGGAAGAAATCAAAACATCAAAGGAAGATAAACTCCGTTCTTTTGAAGAAGATAATCAAAAATTAAAAGAATCTAAGCGAGAATATAAAGAAAAGTTGTTGGAAAAAGATATGGAGATACAAGAGCTTAAGGTTACGGTAGCATCCAATCATTCTTCAGTTATACGGCTTGAAGAAGATAAAGCTTCATTGGAAAGGAAGGTAAGTGACTTGAAGACAGAGCGAAAGCAACTAGAGAATAAGATCAAGGACTACGAGAATAAGTTTCATGAAGCTGATAGACGGTACCGAACCAAAATATTGGCTAATGAGGAAGATTTAAAACACCTTAAACAAGAAGTTGAAAGATGTGAAAAGTTGGCGCAAAAAGTCGGGAGCGAGACAGTTCGATACAGAAGATTGTTAAATTTTGTGGCCATTTTATGTAGTTTACTTATATTCATGATCGTTTATGTTCTCACGTAAGTTCACATTTACTATTATTATTATTATTATTTTCTTCTTTAATATTATTATTTAATTGGTGTATATTTTTTTTAATTTCGTATTATAATTAGTGCTCCTTTAGATGATGGTGTTCCTTTTTATCAGTACTTTCTTCCATATTAATATTAGAATGTACTTGTATGTAAAAAAAAAAAATTGTTGAAGGCATTAGTGCATTAAAAAAATCAAAATAATTAGCCGTTACAAAAAGCTTTTGGAAATGCAAGTTTTTCACTATTCATAGCATATTCATAATAAAATAAAAAAAGCATTAGTAAAAACTTTAAAATTAATCATTGATTAGTTTATGTATTTGCTTTGTAAATCTTCTGAAATCTTAAACGGTAATACTATATTTAATAAAGGATGTTTTATGCGAAAGATTTTAACATATAAGTTGCTTTAATTCTAAAAATTATCATATCATTTAGCATTCTTATATTATTCATATCAATTTGCCCAATAAAATTCGTACAATGATCTCAAATTAGCTAACCATATTTGTGAACAATTGTAAACAATGAACCATATTTATGCACAATTACGATATAAAAAATGAATGGTTAATTTGGTTACCAAATAAACTTTTTCTATTTCAAACAATGTGGTCTCTAATGCTATGTCTCTCTATCTTTTTCATTATATTTATCATAAGGCTGTATAAGATATTACCCTACCGACACCCAAGCTTATCAAAAACAACCATTCACAAAAAATCACATCCTTTTAAAACTTGTGTTGTCCTTGGATCAGGTATATATATATATATTGTCTGTTAAAATCATTGCACTGCACTTTTTGTTAATAATTTCATTGGGTTTGAGTCAAATCCCGACAGGTCATAATCCCGACAGCCAACAACCCAGACAGTTAGACCCCCGACAATTACAATTCTGATAAAACCATAGCTAACCCTAGCCTAACCCTTATATAAAGTGACATAACCTTAAGTTAATTAAATTATGAGTCTATTTCGCTTTAAAATATTCAATATTTAGGATTTTATGCCTGAAAATTTTGACTATCGGGGTTTTTATAGTTGTCAATACATATTATTACTTATCATTAAGAGATATTACCACCAAATTTTTTACGCAATGGTAATAATAAAAAAAAATTATGGTATTTGCAAAATAAGCCTGATCGGATTTTAAAGTTATACCATTCGGATTGTATTTGTGAATCGTAATAGTCAGTTGTAATAAGCAATAATAAGTATTGATAATAAAGGGTAAAAAATAAGTATTTATTACTTATTTTATTACCTTGCCCATCACTGGATTTTTGATTGTCGGGATTTTTGGTCAGGATTTTGGCCGCACCCATTTCATTTATATTATAAAGGTGGTCATACAATGGAAATGATACAACTTTTACGAGAAGTCGACTTCAATTCATTATATCAACCGCGAATATATATAGTAGCACAAGGTGACCATTTGAGCTCTGACAAAATTAGAGCTTTTGAAAGGCATAAAGGCGGAACAGAAAATGTCGATGTATGTAATTAGTTCTTCATTTACCATTTAACCATATTAATACTAACAGCAATGTTAATTACATGGACTTAATTTTATCCTAAAAAGTTTCTAGTTAAAATTATTCCTCGAAGTCGTAATGTTGGTCAATCATGGCTATCAACTCCTTTTAGCGTTTTTAATGCATTATTTTCATGCATTAAAATCATATTGCTTGATTTACCTGACTTGGTGATTAAATTTCTTACCATTTGCTGTATGTTACTTATGCAAACTTACAATATATCTCTTCTTTACAGATAATATGTAATGGACCTGGAAGTTGTATTCCTGTTTGTGTAATATCTTACATTCCGCGGGTAAGAATATGTACATTTATTTTATAATGTCTCAATATTTTATTAAATCAACTTATAAAATTTTTAATATAATTCTCCTTTTAGATACTTGGAATAAAATGGATCAAGTTAATATATGTAGAATCCTTTGCTCGTGTTCGCACATTGTCATTATCCGGAAAATTGTTATTAAGATTTGTTGATAGATTTATTGTTCAATGGCCATATCTTGAACAAAAATATCCACAAGCTGAATATAGAGGAATGCTGGTATAAGAGCATATTCTTAGATGCAAATATATTAGTACTTATTTTTAATTTTCTAATATTATATGTAGTGTGTGTATGTATATGGGTATTAATTGCAAATCTGCAATATGTTAATCAAACTAATTTTATAAATGAAAATTAAAAACACTTGCTTATAATTAGGATAAAGGTGAGTTTGAGATTGGAACAAAGTATAACTTATATTAAAAATTGGAAAAAAAATTTTATTGGAATTAGCTCTTAGGCTTGCATGCTACTCTGGGGTTAGGTTTTAAGTTTTTTTAGTATTTGATTTGTAGCAATTTAACTTTTGACTTAGATGATGCTTTAAAGGCATAATCTTAATTTTTTTATAATTGTTATAGTTTTTATTTGTTTTTATATTTTAGATTTTAATATTAATATATATTAAGTAAAAATATTAAGTGGTAGATCGCAGTTGAAGGGTATAAATTTCATAGTAAAAATCGGCGGAAAATTACTATTACTTTCATATAATGTTGGAATGCCGAAAGTTTTTGGCATTATGTAAAAATCATATAGTTATAAAGGAAAAAATGCCAATAGCTTGCGATCTACCGAACCAATTTGAATAATTCTACCACTATTATAACCGAAATGACTTGTTATATGATCTTTGTTAGAAACTTAAGGAAGGTTTACTTGCATGAAAAACTTTTCATTGTAAGCTAGCTGCATTCCAACTCTATAGAAAATCCATATCAACTTCTGGTAATTTTTACTATTAAATTCGCTATTTTTATACCCTTTAACCGTGATTTACTTCTTAAATTTTTTAAAGTTTTATATCTAATTTTGTTTTAATTTTAAATTCATTCTAATTTTAAACATATAAAATAAGTAAATTTTAATTTAAGGTTATTATATCTAACTTATATCTTTTTTTTTATTGTTAATAAGTGATCAATTGCTCAGTCAAACTGGTAATTTTTTATTAATTAGTAATATCCTAAGTACATATATAGTTTATGAAAGTACAGCTAATCATATATACAACTCTAGTTATTGATTATTTAAGAGTTTCATCCTAAAGTTACTTACTATCTGTCATATCTAACCTTTGCTTGTAAGTGTTCTATTTAAATTCTTTGACTTACCTAATTAGTATTTGTATACTTCTAATTATTTCATCTTAAGGTTGATTGATTCTGTTGCTACTTTCTATTAAGAACCATCTATATTTGACATTATCTTTTTCTATACTGTTATTCAGACTGTAACAATGCTTGTTATTTGGCAGTAAGATATTAAAAACTTCTTTGTTAAGTTATCTCCTACTCTACAGATCTTAACAAAGTTATGTTTTTGCAAAGTTTACCTGTATTTCAGTATCTATTTCATAGCATATCTCTAGTACTTTAGTATATTCTTGTTTTATTTTTAGATTTTCAATACAGATAGCTTAAAAGAACTATAACCTGTTTCTAGTATATCAAGTTTAGTCTGATATTTTTTCTTTTAGTTCAACCAAGCAGTCTGATTAGTAGTACCTTTTACTTAAAAATTCTTATTTATTCAATTCTTCTGCATTAATATCCATTTTCTTGATTTAATTTTTACAGTAGTACTATTAAAGATCTGTATTATTTTTTTACTTAGGTCTTCTTAAATAGGTTTTAGTTTTTTTCAGTTTTATAAATTTATACAATTACAAGGATTTATCTTAGATTTGCACTGTCTGGTACATTTCTTTGTGTAATTAAGATCATACAGATGTTTTATAACTTGCTAGTTATACTGATATAATCATAGTTACAGATATTTTATTTTAATTGATTAACAAAATGCTGTTATCATAATACTTGTTAAATAATTATCTAAATTTTTACTATAGTAGGTTTTGAACTTATAATCTACTACTTAGAAATTAACAACCTATTTATTTCATTAAGTTGTCACATTTATTAATTTATATCTTAATTTTAAATTTATTATAAATTTAAAATTATAAGTTTTTAATTAAAATTTTAAAAAATATAAAATAATTAACTACATATTATTACTATTTTAAAGGTTTTTAATCATTTTTAAGATATATTATATTTTTTTAAAAGTTATAATTATTATTTTATAAAGATTATCAGACAATATATAATTTTTATATTTATTATAATACTTATAGAAATAGCTTATATTTTATTAAATTCATTATATATAGTTTTAAATTTTTAGTTTTATAATGCAAAACTTATTATTTTTATTTAATTTATAGTTTTTTTAACTTTATATAACCTATTAGTTAGATTATTTTTTATATCTAATATTTTTTTTATTAATTATTTTAATTAAGTTTTCTTAATATTAATATTTATTAATAAATTTATTTATTTTAATTATTTTAGATTCTGTAACTATATTAGCAAATTGCATTTTTATATATAAATTTGATTTTTTTTTAATAAAAAATTCTTTAAAAAATTATTTCAATTATGGTCTTAATGAAATTGTTGTTATTTAGTAGAATTTAACTTGTAATTTTATGATTGTAATTTAAAATACTAAGTATAAAATTAAATAATAATAAACAGTATTGTTCTTTAGATTAATTGAATTAATTACTAAATTCAATTAGTCAAAAAACAGTACTAATTATGAAAATTAAATTTATTTTTTTCTTATTTTTTTTTTTAAAAAAGTAAAGTTTAGCTTCTATTTCTTTATTATTATTATATAAATTTTTATAAAAGTAAATAAATACAATATATTATAGGTAACTAGAAACTAAAACTAATTTATTTTTAATCTAGATTTTGCTAAGAATAGGGTTTCTCAAAACCAAATCAAATCAAATATTAGATCGATTTGAATTTGATCATATCAAATATTTCCTTAATTTGATTTGATTTGATCAAATCAAATCAAATATTTGATTTGAATATTTGATTTTCAAAAA